TTGGCCTGTATAGTGGTTTCCTGTAACCTGCTGAACACCCTCTCCCGCCTCACCACCTATGTCTCCTTCTGAAGGTCAATGTATTGACATTACTGCTCTATAGTGTTTGCCACATGGTATTCTTGAAATTCAGAGGAAACTTTGTTCTTTCACTGTAACAAGAAGGAAAATTGAGACACAGTGATTACCCAGATTTCCCAAGTCCATCTAGGCCCAAGAATAGGAATCTATTAGGTATAACCTGGGAAATCTGCTGGGTGATCTTAATTTTTTGCCATTGACTAGAAATACAGTATCCTAGTGAGAAGTAATTGTGAAATAATAAGCAGACACATAGTATACATGTCCTGAGTTTATTATGTCTCTGGTTCTTCCAGCAAGATAACATTTCTGCAGATAAAGCAGGAAGATGGCATGGTGTGTCTCATCAACTCATCCCAGATATCTGAAACATATGTTTTTTTAACAACAAAACGAATTAGCTTAAGAACATTATTTTGGCTGGGCAGTGGTGGCCTAAAATCCCAGCACTCAGGAGGCAGAGACAGGCCAATCTGAGTTTTTAGGCTAGCCTGCTCCACAGAGTGAGTTTCAAGACAGCCAGGGCTACACAGAGAAACCCTGTCTCCAAAACAAAACAAACAAAACAAAACAGCCATTATTTTGGGTGGGATGACTTCTAAAGCTTTATCTATGACATAGTCTCAGTAAGCAGAACAAAGGGAGACAAACCCATAAAGGAACAGCTGAAATGCTGATGGTGTCAGAGTCTCTTCAGAGTGGAAGGCTTAGCGTGTCCTTTCAGCAACCTCATACATGGCCTCTCCTCAGGCGAAGTTGCCGTCTTCTTTCTTGGGGGTTTCCATTATACAAATCCTACCTCCCTACTTCTAATCTCCTCATCTCTTGGATGTAGAAAATCAGCAGCTTCTTGAGCTGATTGTGGTGGCGCACGCCTTTAATCCCAGCACTCAGGAGGCAGAGCCAGGTGGATCCCTGAGCCCTGAGTGGGAGACAGTCTGGTGTACAGAAAGAGAGTTCCATGACAGCCAAGACTATGCAGAGAAGCCCCATCTCGAATCTTCACACCCCCATGCTTCCCACCCCACCTCTAGAAAGAAAGAAACAAAGAAAGGAAGGAAGGAAGAAGAAAGGAAGGAAGAAGGAAGGAAGGAAGGAAGGAAGGAAGGAAGGAAGGAAGGAAAGAAAAGAAGGAAGAAGGAAAGAAGGAACCTTAAAGAAAACCATTTTTCTAAACTTGCTTGCTCAAGCATGCTAGCTATATCCCATGTGTGGGTTTATGATGTCATAGATGCTATAATGCCCTTGGTGTGTGCCATCTGTCTCTGTTGTTGCTCCAAAGCTGTTTCTGCTCACTGCAGGTTCAGGTTGTTTCACAGTGATTAATATCACCAAAGAGCACTGGGCCGATATATAGTAGGAAAGGACCAATGACTTGGGCTCCTCTCCTCTCCTCTCCTCTCCT